CATATTGTTAATCCAGTACTAGTATGGAAGCCTGTTTCAGCCACTGAATAAAAAAATAAAAAAGGTAATTGTGACATCACAATTTTGAGTTTTTTTCTCGCAATCCTGACTTTATAACTGGCAACTGTGAGTTTAAATCTCACAATTCTGAGAAAAAAGTCAGAAATGTGATATAAAAAGTCGCAATTACCTTTTTTATTCAGTGGTGGAAACAGGCTTCAATAGCACTTGTGTCCATCACACAGTGACATGTTATGTTTGGCAGTCTGCACGAAATAGACACTGAGGCAGTCAAAACATAATTTCAGCCCTCCAATTTTTCTCTTCAGAAATCAGGGCACTTGTTGGAACACTGTAGGAAGTAAGGTCTCCAAACATTTGTTTTTAGATAAATTTGATTTCATTAAGCGTAGTAACCAGTCAATTACTTCTCTATTTGTTAATATCTCTTCTCCTCCATCAAAATTTGTTTGGGTAAATATGTCTCCCTCATTTGTGTGGGGTCAGTTTTGGAAAGTTCTTACACTGAACAAAATGATAAACGCAACACTTTTGTTTTTGCCCCCATTTTTCATGAGCTGAACTCAAAGATCTAAGACTTTTTCTATGTACACAAAAGGCCTATTTCTCTCAAATATTGTTCACAAATCTGTGTTAGTGAAGACTAATCCATCCCCCTCACAGGTGTGGCATATCAAGATGCTGATTAGACAGCATGATTATTGCACAGGTGTGCCTTAGGCTGGCCACAATAAAAGGCCACTCTAAAATGTGCAGTTTTAGTACACAGCACAATGCTACACATGTCGCAAGTTTTGAGGGAGCGTGCAATTGGCATGCTGACTGCAGGAATGTCCACCAGAGCGGTTGCCCGTGAATTGAATGTTCATTTCTCTAAGCCGTCTCCAAAGGCGTTTCAGAGAATTTGGCAGTACATCCAACCGACCTCACAACCGCAGACCACATGTAACCACACCAGCCCAGGACCTCCACATCCAGCATCTTCACCCCCAAGATCGTCTGAGACCAACCACCCGGACAGCTGCTGCAACAATCGGTTTGCATAACCAAAGAATTTCTGCACAAACTGTCAGAAACCATTTAAAGGGAAGCTCATCTGCATGCTCCTCGTCCTCATCGGGGTCTCGACCTGACTGCAGTTCATCGTCGTAACCGACTTGAGTGGGCAAATGCTCACATTCGATGGCGTCTGGCACTTTGGAGAGGTGTTCTCTTCACGGATGAATCCCGGTTTTCACTGTACAGGGCAGATGGCAGACAGCGTGTATGGCATCGTGTGGGTGAGCGGTTTGCTGATGTCAACGTTGTGGATCGAGTGGCCCATGGTCGCGGTGGGGTTATGGTATGGGCAGGCGTATGTTATGGACAACGAACACTTGTGCATTTTATTGATGGCATTTTGAATGCACAGAGATACTGTGACGAGATCCTGAGGCCCATTGTTGTGCCATTCATCCACGTCCATCACCTCATGTTGCAGCATGATAATGCACAGCCCCATGTTGCAAGGATCTGTACACAATTCCTGGAAGCTGAAAACATCCCAGTTCTTGCATGGCCAGCATACTCACCGGACATGTCACCCATTGAGCATGTTTGGGATGCTCTGGATCGGCGTATACGACAGCGTGTTCCAGTTCCTGCCAATATCCAGCAACTTCACACAGCCATTGAAGAGGAGTGGACCAACATTCCACAATCAACAACCTGATCAACTCTATGCAAAGGAGATGTGTTGCACTGCGTGAGGCATAAGGGTGGTCACACCAGATACTGACTGGTTTTTGGACCCCTCTGGACCCCCCAATACAGTAAAACTGCACATTTTAGAGTGGCCTTTTATTGTGGCCAGCCTAAGGCACACCTGTGCAATAATCATGCTGTCTAATCCGCATCTTGATATGCCACACCTGTGAGGTGGATGGATTATCTCGGCAAAGGAGAAGTGCTCACTAACACAGATTTGTGAACAATATTTGAGAGAAATAGGCCTTTTGTGTACATAGAAAGTCTTAGATCTTTGAGTTCAGCTCATGAAAAATGGGGACAAAAACAAAAGTGTTGCGTTTAAAATTTTGTTCAGTGTAGTTGTTATTGTATAACGAAACTAAAGTAGTATAATTCGAAATTGTTCACAGAATATATCCTGTGAAAGACACATTAGCATTTTCATTTGGATATGGATTACAAATGTTCTTTTTGTAATTGTGAGAGTATATTGTGCATTTGTTTTGAATGTCCCTGTTCATCTTTATTTTGGTATGTCAGACAGTCTGATGAAGAGCCTGTGTGCTCGAAACGTCACACACCCTATGCAACAATTTTTGATACTTTTGGAACTTTGGTGTTGCCGACTTTACATTTTAAAAGAAAAATTTCACTTTTTTTAGTCGAGCACCCAGTTGAGATCGATGTGCGTGCTTTTGCCTGCTCTTTAACCTAGTCCTAAGTGTCATCAGTTTACTTCAAGTGACTTTTCCAAAAGAAAAATATGTATTTTGGATTTGCTTTTGTAGAAAATTTGATATTCATCAGACCAAATGGAGTTACTGAAAGACAAATTTTTCATCATTTTCAAACAGCCTTTAAAGTTTATTTAGAATCTGTAAAGGTTATAAAAAAAGAAAAAGGCCAAAGAACTGTATTTCAGTTAAATTAATTTAGCTTATGGTTGTGATGCTCTTTAATTTTTATTTCATCCTTTGTTGTTTCAATTTATTATTGTGGTGTTTCTGTTTGCAAATTTGAAAAATTGTGAAATATTTTGCGAACTTGCTGAATTTAGTAAATCTTAAAGTTCAAAAGTTAAATAAAAAAAAAAACATAAATTTTCGGTTGCTGAAATTTCGGTGCATCACTATTTGTATCTGGACATGTGAAGACGCAGTGAAACGAGGTGACACAGTAAGGAAAATTCTACAAAATGTTTTATTGAAAAGCAAGACAGAACTACAAGAGCATTGTACAATCTCAGAGGGGTCATGGACTGAGCTGGGGGAGAAAGAAAAAGTCTCGAGCATCTTTCACAGTACGTCTTACCTGAAGAGGTAGATTTCTTGCATAACCTGAGAAACTGGGGCATTGCCAAAACAAAACAAACAAAAAACCTTAACCCCAATTACACATGTATTTGTCAAAATAAATGCTTCTGCAGAGATCAAAATATTTGACAGTGAGGTGAAACGGTTACGAGGAAATCCACGTAAATCAAGTGCTAAGATGTTCTTGTAATAAACATCAACATTGTTATTCAAAATATGGGGAAGCTGGTGAAGGTCTATCTTTCCATTCTGTCGGGTTTTACAGTTTGGTAAGTTTAAACACATTCAGCCTATGTTTCTGATGAACAGCACAGGCTTGTCCTTCTACACTTAGGTCGCTTTGCCGTCCATCCATTACAAGACATGATTAATGTGATTCGTTTTTCAAAAGGTATGATCATGTTCATTGCCCATTGAATGAAAACGCTGGATCCGTTTTGTTATATTCAGCATTGAGGAATGTACTGGTTAGCATCAGAGGTTCAGATCAGGCCATGAACGGAGCCAGATGTTGTAATGGACCCGAGGCGGCAAGTGTTTCTTGACCCTGCGTGGCCACAGCGTGATCATGACCATTGGTTTAGACATGGCGACTTCTACATTCATCAGTTCAGTTCTCGTTCACATTAGCAGTATTGAGAATGTTTGCAGCTCTTCTGAACCTTTTCGCATTGAATTACAGACATTTTACTCATGATCATTACAAAGTCCAAAAAAGAAAGAGAGAACTCACATTCAGCATATCCAGTATCAAATACGTCAAGGCCCCTTTCAAAAATATAGAATTTTAGTCAGTTTTGTGTTCAGTTCAGTGAAAATTCAACCTGTCCATTTTAGACAGATAAAAAAAAGAAACAAATAATAATAATAAAAAAATGGATATTTTACCTCAAAACTGAAAATTCTTTCATGTACTCGTACCTTCATGTTGCTCCAAACCTGTATGACAAAAGAATTACCTTTTTGTCCTTACTATGAAAGTCAATGGGGTCCAATGTTGTTTTGAACCCCACTGGCTTTCATATAGACAGTAGAAATAGTGGTTCTTTTGTGCTCCACAGAAGAAAAAAAGACAGGTTTGGACCGACATGAGGGTGACAAGTTATGATATTTTTGGGTGAAATTCCATAATCTTTTTTTAAAAAACAACAACCCCACACACAAACAAATCCAATTAAAACAACAGCTGTCATCAGGACTGATTAACAGCAGCATCAGGACAATAAAACAAATCAAACTAAGGTAATATCATCCTTTCAGCAAACAATACAGATAATTTTTTTAGTAAATTAAGAAATATGTTAAAATCAATAAAAAAATTTTTTTTTTTTTTTATTGACGTCATGGTCAATTATAGGATTTTGGTCAAAAGCAGATTGATTTTAGTTTGATCAGGTTCAGTTACGCAATCCAACGGTTGACTGGCTCGAGGTGGCTTGGAAACCCCGATCCAACAAAAACAACTACCCTGTCTCTTAAATAAAAGGGGTTGCGAAGTTGATATGAAATTTTAACGAAATATAAATGTGGCATTTTGCCGGCATTAATGGGAGTGGTTTTTTCTGCTGGTAAAGATGCTTTCTCTTCGTCTGTCACACAACAAAAAAAGTCCCTCCCATAGAAAGTTCTGAAACTTCAGCGGTGTGGGACTGTTCGACCCTGTCTTAGTATTTCACAGAACTGTCGGAGATGTAGCAGCCTTTTTCAAAGTCAAACTAGCCCTTAATCAGATTCCCATTTGAAAACCAGTCACAGGCAGGCTTCCTTTAAAGTCCATTTAAATTGAAGCAACAGAAGCATGACTTGCCATGGACCCCATGTATCTTCTCGGTTATTAATGCCCTGTTTCTCGAGTCTCAAGGTTATCTGGTCACCTAGAGCTGGACTGGCTTGTCGACTATTTACGTTTATTTTAAAATAGCAATATTAAACATTATATGCATCCAAAATGATTTATTCAGATTCTAGAGGTCAGAGCGAAGAGCTACATTTTATTAAAGAGAAACGAAAAACGTGCAAGCACAGCACAGCTGAGCAGAGAATGGGGGGAGAAAAAAGAAAAACATACGAAACAAAGCTGCATGGAGGCCGTCTGGGACCACATGACCATTTCCTATGAAAATACAATATGATAGAAAACAGGGAGTAATAAGTGCTTTACACCAACGTATAGAGCAGTTAGCGTCTTCACTAATGTCCTGCTTTTCCTCACTAATTTTTATGATAATTGTTAGACAAAAATATATACCTCCACAAAAAAAAAGAAAAAGAAAGGCCACTAGAAGGCCAGGCTCAGTCGCCAGTGAGTTGTCTGGATGTTGTGGTGCCCGCTTCCTCAGGCTGAAGCCCGAGTTTCTCTGTTTCAGGATCCAAACCCTCCACCTCTCTCTCCATCTCTGGGTTGAGCCCCTGCGGCTGAGGGTCAGGAGGACCCGTACCTTCTTCCTCGGGATCTTTCGCTGGGCCCTGAAGGTCGTGGAGTTTCTGGTTCAGGTCGTTGCGTTCTCTCTGCAGGGCCCTGCAAAGCTTCTCCAGTCGCTCCAGTTTCCCTTGGAGGGCCTTGTAATTCTTGTCTCGCACCGTTTTCTTAGAGACAAACCAAAAGCAACTTGAAAACAGATTCGGAAATATTCAGAAGTTTGGAGTCAGTATGAGTTTTTTTTCCCCCGTTTTTAAATTGATCAAAAGTGACTAGGGTTGGGTATCAAAAATCGATTCCAATTCCAGAATCGGATACTTTTAGTAAAATTAAAATTTCGATTCCGCCCATTGATTCCTTTTCTTTTTTTTTTCCATCTGTGAGGACCCGACTCTGCGGTCTGCCAGGACCTTCCACGCTATTCTAAGCGCTCCGGTGTTTGGCTACACTTGCGATTAGCAAGTAACTGCTAGATATAATATTTGTGATAAGCTAACATGTTGCAAGAGAGGTGTCACCACCAACATGACAAAACACTTTAATTAAAGGGGTCCTATTATGCTCTTTTACAAAGTCTTGATTAGGGCTGCACGATTAATCGAATGCGATTGTCATGCGCAATTTGTTAGTAAAGCCGGTTCTGTAATCAGCAGGAAATCATCATCACGTGCTTTCAGATAGAGCAGAATTTACTACACATAGCCGTAGTTCACTGACAAATTACGCAAGCAAAAAAAATAAAAAAATATTCGCAGACGATTCTATTGCGCGATAATGACAGCTGTTTGCGTAGCTTCTCAGTGAACTAAGGCACTGTGAAGTAAATGCTGCTCCATCTGAAAGCATGTGAAAATACCACATTTAATAAAATTTTTACTCCAAACTCACTTCATAACGTCAGTCGAGTGTTTGAAATAAATCCTTCTGTGAGATGATGTGGCTTCTTACACAGAATAAGGCACGCAACATATTTCATAGTATTTAAGCAGTGATAAAGGCATTGCATTATAAATATACTTTATTTTAATAAAAATTATAATAATAAGAAAAACCGTATATTGCCGTAGTCGTGTGTTTATTAGTCACATTGAATCAATGAAAGCAGTTGAATCTTCTGTTTATTCAGCTGCAGCGATAGGCATTTCCTGGATTACTTCTTCGGGGCATATTTGGAGTTTCAGCGCGAGCGCGCCCTCTGGCCTTTAGATGGAGATTTACTGCTGATCACAGAACCGTGCTTCACTGAAAGATACGCATGACAATTGCAGCTTCTGTCGAATCGCGATCTCGATTCCATTTCGATTTATCGTGCAGCGCTAGTCTTGATTTTGTTTTGGGGGTGTACTAGAACAGGCTCTCATACTAGGTTGTTCAAAAAACATTATTTTTCTCATATTTTGCATTATTACAACACATCTCTCCCCAGTCTGGCATGAACGGCTCGAATAGTTCCTGTATCAAATGAAGGCTTCTGAAATACGAAATGTGCTGCGATTGGTTAGCTGGGCCCGTGTGTGTTGTGATTGGTTAGCTAGGCCAGTGTGTGCGGTGATTGGTTAGCTGGGCCAGTGTGTGTCGTGATTGGTTAGC